TCATTTCCCCTGCTGGTTTACCTTTAAACCAGCACACAGACCTTCCCAAATCCACAGCTGGGATCACAGTGACCACCAGAGCTGCTGCTGCTCCCAAGGAATCCACCAGTGGCACCTCGGGCTGAGCTGAGCTCGCTCACACAACAAGGATTTTCCACTCCAGGAACACAAGTGCAGCTCTGTTTTTATTCTTAATCCCTGTTTTTATTCTTCTCTGTTTTTATTCTTTCATTCTGCTTTCCCTCAGAAAAAATAACACAATTTTATGGATCCAGACACGGACAGAAGGGTTCTGAGGTGCTAAAGGCCAGAAGGGATCAGGGGTGGTCAGATCCATTATAGGGGATATTCAATGTAATAAAATTTTGCAAGGGATTAAGAACAATGTCCATCTGAGAAACACTGCTTTGGAAAGGTAAGGGAATGAGGACCTGCAGGATCAATGGGAATTTGGAGGTGAATACCCCAAGGAAGGAGGGAAACTGCCAACTTATTTAAGGCACCACAGACTTTTCTCCTGCCCAGCTCCAGGGAAGGAGAGGAACTGGTGCCACAGCCACACTGGGGGATAAGTTCACTGGCAAATTATCAACAGGGATGTTTAAAGTGCTTTGCCTTCTCCCAAAATCTGAGTATTAAATTAAAGTATAACATTTTAATAAAATATTTTAAGATAGCTTATTTTCCCTTCCACGGAAAACAGTGATTGTGCACTTCTAAATCCACTGAATTTATGGACAAAAAACATGTTTCAGGATACAAAATGACTCTGCCATTTAAGAATAAGGAACCACAGTCCATGCAAAAAGCTGCCTCTTAGCTAGAATCTGAAGGGCAAAGAGTGGCTCAAGATGAACTTTTGTGCTGAATTAAAAACTAATAAACTCCTTTTTCCCTATGAGGGTTAAAATAATAAACCCGAGCACCAAAACTAGAGATGTTCCAGCACTTTTAGATGTAGCACATTAGTGCATTTCCTAATTAAGAACGAAAAAATTCCATTAAAATATAAAAAGTGCTCAACCATCTTAAGGGAAGGGAAATTTAAAGCACATTAAACTGAATTTCTCAGGTATGTGAGGCCTCCCAAGCCCTCCACAGGACTGTTTGGTGCTGCTCCTGTGACATGCCTCAAAGAGGTTTTTCTCTAGAGACAGAATGTCAACTTTTACTCCTGGTTTATCCTCAGATTTTTAATTTAGAAGCACAGGCAAGAAAAATGCCATCTGTTTGCAGAAATCCTGCAGCCTGCTCTCGTGTGTTCCCAGCTAATACATGACAAAAGCTGACAGGCTCCTGCTTTGGTGAAAAATGTTAAAGAATCTCTCCTGGTGCACGAAGGGGAATTCATTTATTCCCTTGAAAAGCAAAGATCACAGGCCTGGGAAGGCTGGGGGGGACCAGGCAGAGGTTTTATTGCCACTCTCAGAGGACAGTGCTGGGGATCAGCAAACCTGATCAGGATTTGTGCTCTGTGAGGCTGAACAGCTTCCAGAAAAAAGAGCATTTTGGTGTTTTGTTTTTTTTTTTTTTTTGAGCTGCATCCTGCATTTCCCTCAGTGTGAAGCACCTCTCTGAGGTTCAGCTCCCTCCCTGCAGTGCCTGAAGCCCTGACTCACTCCCATCCAGCTGGATCTCTCTGCTGCACACGGGGCTCTGCTGTGAGCTAAACTCCCTTTCTCCAGCTACATCAAGGAGAATTTTAAAGTGGAAATGTATTCCCACTTCGGTGGAGCAGGTTCTGCTTCTTTCTCCTTCATTGTCACGAAATCCTTTACATCTCAAACACACCAACTCCAGCTCCCCTAAGCCACAGATTTCTTCTGACTGATCTTCACTCTGCTTTCACCACCTGCTACTGAGGGGTTTTTTTCCCCTCTCTTTGTTGAGTCTCCACAGGTTCTGGTTTTATCTCTACATTTTGGCTGCAAATCTCTAATTGAGGCAGCGGGAAAAGTTCTCACACAGAGTCCAGGTAAGGTCATGCCTAAATAATAGGAAAAAACATGATATTCAGAAAACTTATTCTGAAAACAAGTGGAAGGTGTCCCTGCCCGTGGCAGTGGGTGGAATGAGATGGTCTTTAAGGTCCTTCCAACCCAAACCAGTCTGGGATTCTGTGACTAAAAGCTGCAGAGAAACAGATCTAATTCAACCAACTCGAACTTCAGTTGCTTTATAAACATCACCCTGGGCAACTGCTTTGAAGTGTGTCCCTTCAAACTGGAATGAATCAGATCCGATAAAAATAAAAATCTTAATAGAAAAATAACAATTTACAGAGGTCTCTCTGCTTCGAGCATTGACAAAAAGGAACATTAAGTCTTTGAAATTCTGTGTTACAGGCTGAGATGGCACGTTAAACATTTGCAACTAATGTGAAATTAGAGAATTATCTGCTGGCTTTATTCACAGTCTGGCTTTAGGTATTTATTATTTAAAAGGTGAAGGAAGCCAACTTTCTGACAAAATAATGATAGGGAGTTTAATTAAATCCATAAGCAGCAACCCAGAGAAATGCAGGGCTGGAAAACAGCTTTTCTCTTCAAATGATTGGATTTTACATATTTGTAGTGACCTGTTTGCATAGAAACAAACCTGTGGTGGTCTGGGAGCTGACACCAAAAATAGTCCCTAAAGATGGGACTTTGCAGCCCCCAGGACTTACTTTGCTGCTCAGGTGACACAGCAGGTTTTGAAGGTGAAGGATTTGCAGAAAGACCCTGTCAAGGGTTTTTCCCCACCTGGTGGGATGTGGCCCTTTGGCTGCCAGAACCACGGGATGTTTCTGTTGTATCCCAGGAGTGCAGCTTTAGGGAATCTGCGTGTTTTAACGTGGAAGAAAGGAAAAGCTCAGGGGTTTAAAGGGAGAGATTTGGAAAGCAGGAATCCCTGTGGCCTTAGGGCAGGGACAGAGGATCCTGGGAGCAGCTGCCTCATTGGGAACAAAGCTCATTGGGAACAAAGCTCTGGCAGGACTTGCAGCAGCAAGAAATGGGCGGTGCTGGGGTGCAAGATTTTCTCTCTGAGCATCATCCCTTGGCTGCTGCAGCCCCCTCACAGAGGTCATTTCTCCTCAGTTGGAGAACACAAGGCCTGGACAGGATGTATTTCTGTGTCAGCAGCCCTTTTTCTCTCTCACACATGAGAAACTAAGAGAATTTCTCTCACTCTGCATTGTGTTGTTAATACTTCTATCTTTTCTTTTTTGAGGTGCAACCACCTTGGCAGCTGCCTCTCTCTGCCCTGCCTGCCTTCAGCTCTTCTAGAGCAAACAAAGGAGCTTCCAGGTGATTCAACTTCCAGGAGCTAGACTCGATGATCCCTGTGGGTCCCTTCCAACTCAGGATATTCCACGATTCACCCTCTATAATTTCCGAGCACCTTCAAACGCTCGATTTAAGCGCATTAACTTCAGCAGTGACAAACGCCAGACTCTGGCAGTGTGGTGGCAGCTTCCTTACCTTCCTCAGCCACCACAGTGAGGGTCACCACGTTGCCAGCATCCTTGATGAGCTGCACGATGCTGTCGTGGGAGAGCTCCACGATGGACTGGCCGTTCACCGCCGAGATCCGGTCGCCCACCTTCAGCTTCCCGCACTGGTCAGCGGGGCTGCCGTCGATCACCCGCCCGATCTTGTGGGGAATCACTGGGGATCAAGGACAGCCACAGCAACACCTTAATACCCACAGAACACCCTGACTAGGAAGGATCAAAGTCCAGCTCCCAGCCCTGCACAGGCCAACCCCAAAATCCCACTGTCTGCGTGTCGAAAAGGCGCCGCGTGGACCCGGAATCGCCGCGGTCGTCCCGGAGAATCACTCCCGCTCCAAAGGGTGGCACTGCTTTACAAGGAAAACCTGCAAACCGTGAGAAATGCTCCACTGGGAGTGAACTGAGCCAACCCAACAGCACGGCCCTGTCACGGTACAGGGTGTTGTGCCTGAAGGAAAACACGGCGAGGAAATGGGTCACATCTGCAGAGGGATGAGTGAGAGCGCGTGGCCCCGCAGCGCTCCGGAGCAGTTGGGTTTTGCCACTCAAAATGTAGTTTTCCATTTCATGCATCCACCCTGGAGCGCTGTGTGGGCTCAGAGACAATTATGGATATCCAGTGTAACACAGAAATCTGGATGCAGGGGTAAACTCTTCCTCCTTGCAACTGAAAATTAACCCTTAAACACACTTCAAAGAGAAATCAAATGTGTCCTGCCAGGGACTGACTCAGTAACCTGGTGAGGAACTCAGCAGTGACCCTGAGCACACCCAGCAAGGTGTGTTACATCAGCTCTGCACAGACCTCATCCCTTGCCCTGCTGAGATGAACCTGCACTTGGAATAATTATCTCCCATTTTATCCAGCTCTCCTGGGTTGGTTCCCTCAGTTCACCCCATAGTGACACTGTGTCCTGCACAGACTCCTCCAGAGGCCAAAGCAACGGGGCCAGAACAGACAGAATGGGGAAAAGAGAAAATTTTAGGAAAAGCAGAAGGCAAAAAAGACTGATTTCAGTTCCTTTCCCAGAGGTGAACACAGAGGCAGAGCTACAGGCAGGAGGAGGGAGGGATGCTCCACTCCAGCACCTCTCCCATGGCTCAGCTTCACCTGTGGCTCCTGTGCTCTCCCCACCACGAGCTGTGCTGGTGCTCAGGAAGGGATCCTGTTTTATGGTTTGCTGCCCCAACATCATGCCTGCAGAATGCCCTGGGCAGCCAGGGAGCTGCCATGGTGACAGGAGAGACCTTCCAAAACCTGGGGCAAGGAGTGCTCGTGGAGCTGCCCCTGTGCTGACGTGGCCCCGACAGAGCAGATCTGCATCACATGAAAGCACAGCAGTCAGCAGCTTTCCCAGGCATCCAAAACAGCCTCTCATTCATCTGGATCCCTGAAAGCACATCAGAGTTGGCTCCTGTCCTTCCCAGATCTCTCCTCAGGGCTCGTCTGTGCAGGAACCGCTGCACAGCTCCTTTGTAGCTCATTTCCAAACACCTCCCAGACCAACCTCCACATGTTCCATAAATGCTTTTCCTGGTACTTCATGTGAAAGCCTCTTTGCATCTCCAAGGCCTGAAGCAGGTTTGATGGATACCTGTTTTCCACAGGTGCTGCTCTCCCAAACACACTTTCTCTGAGGAACACCAAGCACCTGCCTGGATCATCAGCTGGCTTTCCAAAACCACCAGAGCAAACCTGAAACACTTCCACAGTGTCACAGAATCCCAGACAAACTGGTTTGGGTTGGAAAGGACCTTAAAGCCCATTTCATTCCACTCCCCCTGCCATGGGCAAGGACACCTTCCACTAGACCAGGCCATGAGCCACCCAGGATTAAAAAGCCACCAAGGATCATTTTAATGAGCCAGCACACACAGAAGTCACTGTGAAGGAACAGACATTGATGCCTTCTAGCCTTTACCATGAGTTTAAATTTTATTTACACTTCCCTTAATAGACTGGTTTTTAAAGTATTATATAAACCTGAGAGCCAACTGTGAAGAGTGAAGCACTGCAGGGTTGCAGACTTAATTGCTGATTACTTGACTTAAAATAGCCTGGCTAAAATATCCTGGCATCTATCCTGAAGAACCCAGGAGCTTCACATTAAACTGTGGCACAGACAAGTTCTGCAGAGCACAGCTTGTGGATGCACCAGTGCCTCTTTGTGTGTTAGAAACAGCCTGGACCACAGGCCTTGTTTCCAGTACTGGAATTGGTTTCAGTTGCCTTCTATTTTCAGTTCTAATATCAAATAAAGACGGATTTGCAGCAGATCTTCAGACAAAAATACTGTCTGTAGCACAGTTATATTATAATTTATATTGCAGATCATATGAGGAGTGGCTGAGGGAGCTGGGGGGGCTCAGCCTGGAGAAAAGGAGGCTGAGGGGGGACCAGGACCAGACTCTGAATATATGTCATACAAATTCAGCACAATGCTACTTAGAAACAGTTTTTTTCTGTGCCCCTGCTGGTTTTTATTGTGCAGTAAAATGAAGTGAGAAAACAGAAGTGTCTGAGGCTCAATAAAAAAAAAAGAGACACTTTCATTACTATGTCTGGAACCAGCTGAGGAAGTTTCAGGTGATTTACACCAAGGAACTAAAGGAACTGAGTATTTCAGGAGTTATCTGTACCTTCATGTCAGTGAATTGGGTTCATTTGTGGGTGACCACCTAAGCCTGTATTTCAAGGGCTGACAGAGATAACCCAAACCTGATGCCAAAAAAAATTAATCCCAGAGATGATCCTACTCATCCCATCGTGCCAAAATGACTTGACATCCTCTCCCTGGCCCTGCCAGGTGAGCAGCAGCCACCAGCATGAGCAACACAAACACACCTGACGGCCCTGAGCAGACCTGCTCCTGTGCAGGACCTTTCCCTGGACTCCAGACCTTCCTGCCAACAGCTTCTCCCTCACTGCTGGTCACATCACTTCTTTTGGTTTAGCTGTTAACCTTGGTTACTTTGCTGTTTATCCTTACAGCTATGCCTGAGCTATGTTCATGTCTCACAACTGCAATACCACACCAGGCTACTTTTTCATTTTGATGAACTTCACAGACACTCTCTGTCTGACAGCAACAACTTCATTGCTTTCCTCCAAGCACTGCAGCCTCTCCTTTCTCAGAGCCCCAGAATAAATCTTACCTGATTAGGTAAAATAAAGCCAAGGCTGAAACTATGCTTCCATTAAAATGCCAGTGAATTAATGAAGTGTGAGAATCTACATCACCACCAAGGCCTGACAAATATCCACATCCCAAACACTGCCCTGTGGCAAGTGCACAGTCCTGTGGACAGGCTGGTTGTGTAGGATATACACTCCCCTGCTCCCCATTTATGTCACAGTTGGGTGAAAAGGAGCACAAACAAGAAGCAAGACAGTCCAAGGCTCAGCTGGCTGGGCTGGGACAGGGTGAGGGAAAGGTGACTGTGTGAGTAACACCAGCACTGCACAGACAGAGAAATCCCTGGAGAAGCTGCAGCCAGGCTGGGCAGTGGCAGAGCCACCAGGACATGGTACTTACCCCCAGGAGGAGGTTTGTTCTTGGAGGTGAGGATGACAAAGCCAAACCCTTCGTTCTCCTTCCGCTGCAGACGGACATCGTACACCTCCGGGCAGGGCTGGCTGGCAAAGTCCCCCCGGCCGGGGCGGGGAGAGCCATTCTGAGCCAGGACAGGCTGGGCCTCCTCCTCCTCTGCTGGCTTTTCCCCTGGCAGGTAACAGACAGACAACAAATAAGGAACAAACCACACCAAGCAACTCCAGCACAAGTCGGTGGCAGTGCCAGCACAGGGTCACTGATCAGAGCAGGGACCGTCGTCGGCTCTAAATCCCATCCCAGCTCTGTCATTCAGGGAGTCACAGACAATAATCTTCTCTAAACTGCTGATCTGGACACTGATCTAAAACTGCAGAATCACAAGATGCTGCCCTGGATCAGCTCTGGTTTGAATGCTACATGATGATGCCAAAAGACTTGAGAATACGACACGTGGAAGGTTCCCTGTCCGTGGCAGGGGTTTGGGATGAGATGAGCTTTATGCTTTTCCAACCCAACTCGTTCCATGATGTACAGAAAACAGATTGGGTTATTACTCAATTTTCATAGCTTTAGTGGCTGTTTTAACTACTACCTGCAAAAAGGTTTGAAGAAATCACCCCTACATCATAATTTTCAGAGCCTTCCCTGTGTGAGCAGTTCAAATTAGCAGCCACCAGAGCATCAGCTTATTAAATTCTGCTTTTCTCCACTTACTCAGAGCTACAGCTGACCTTCCTCAATCTCAGGCTGCTCAGCTCTAGTGCAACAATTAAAGACTGAAATAAATGATTTCAGAGCAGCTTCAGTGGATGTGCTCACAAGCCCCCAAGTGCTCTGTGTGTCCTGCAGCCCCTCTGGGCAGTCAGACACCTACCTCCAAAGAAGATCTTCCTCCTGACTGTGAGCAGGACCTGCCCATTCCGTGCAGCACTGGTCATCAAATCCAGAACCTGCTTGTGGGACTTCCCTTTCACGGGGACCCCGTCGATGCACATCAGCTCGTCCGCCGCCCGCAGCCGCCCGTCCTTCTCTGCTGCTCCCAGGGGGATGATGGCCCCGATGTAAATCTGTCACAGAGCACAGGAAAGGGAACAGGGACTCAGCACAACACGTAATGCTTGGAATCCAGGTGAATCCAGGCTGATGAGGGCTTTGGGGAAGATGTTTTTAAAGATTATCTCCCTGTCCAGCTCCAGCAGAAACGCAGCCAGTGAGTGTGCTCTGCACAGGCTGACCCAGGAGACAACCCAGGAGCTCAAAGCACTCAATATATACTTTTTAAAAAGTTTTGGGGGATTTCTAACCCTCATTTTCACGAATTCTGCTCCCTTGAGAATATCTGTCAGCTTGCTAAAAAGCCCAACCTTTGACATGAGCAAACACTTTAACATATGTGATTTCTCAGAACCAGTGAAACAAAAGCCTCTGTCACCCATTCTACTTATTCCATTTTATTTGTTTTACCAGGAGTGGGCCAGAGTTTTTGGGGAAGAAGTAAAAGCTTTTGAAAGAACTCAAATTTATTTCTGAGAAGTTGCTTAGACAGCTCCATGCTCCAAGTTGTCTCAGTGCTCAGCTCTAGGTGATTAGATAATGAATTCAAACATTATCAATTCTGTCTGCCCCCACCTCAGAAAGTGCTACTAAATATAACACAGATAAGAACACCACACTCTACTTCATATGCTAGAATCACTTTCAGTTTAAAGGAAAGATTAAGGATAATTACAGCCAGTGCTGTTGGAGGTTAAGCAGTGGTGGGCAGCTCATCTGTGCACAGCACTCATGACATCAGCTCCACACTTCCCAACAGCTATGGCTGTTATGGAAACAAAACACCACAAATGCTATAAAAAAGTGCAGTAGAAGTAACATTCTTTGGGTTTGCTCTTTTCTTTAAATGCATGTTAGGGAGGGGAGGTTAAATAATAATAAAAAAAAAAAAGCTAGCACAGGATCACAGCTGGGAATGGAAAAACTGAATTCCTTCACTGTAATCAGAAAACAATCTGTGTATCTATTCCAAAAGGTTTTCCTCTTCACTTGACAGCTGAAGGAAAGGCCCCTGACATGCAGTGCTTCTTCCCAAAGAGAAATCTTTGCATTTTTGGACATAGAGGGCAATCTTTTGGGAGAATGGACTATCCAGGGGTGTCTGCACTGGCACCTGCCCAGCTGCCTCCAACTCCTTGCACTTCTAAAGGCTCAGTGGGAAAAGTGGGGGAAAAGGGGATGTGACCCCATCCCAACTCTCACCTCTTTTCACTGCATGGAAAAGAACAGCCTGGTGGGATTCTGGCAGGGTGAGCAGCCCCTTCCTTCCACTCCACTGCTCTGGGGATGTGGAGCATTAAATCCCAGGAATGTTCTGTGCCAAGGCCACCACTGGGATCAGGTGGCAACGGGCAAAGGTTGGGCACCAGCAGAGCCCTTTTGAGGGCTCCTGGGACACAGCAACAGCTGCAGAAACACCACTGGCCTCATCAGCCTGACAGAAAACCACTACCAAAGACAGGCTGGGGACTGAAGGCAGCCACAAAGAGGGGAAAAGAAAGGTAATCTGGATTAACTCCTGATCTTTGAAAGGCAGGCACTGAACTGATCAATTTTGCCATCACTGAACTGTCCGGAATGCTGGGAAGTGAGGATTACAGAGGATCACTCTGACAGGAACACACAGGTAACACTGAACAGGTCCACTTACAGGCTGATCCGGCCCGTCCCCTCCAAGCACCCGGAAACCAAAGCCTGACTCTTGTTTTCGCAGGAAAACATCCAAATCTCTTGTGTTTGGAGCTGAGAAAAAACATTTCAAAACATGTAAGGAGCTAATCTTGGATTACTGAAGGATTATGCTTTGGTGGTGCATTCTGAGGTGTCTTATTGACAGAACACAGTAACCAGAAATACAGTAAATAATAAAACAGCCAGATATTCAGTGATGTTCTCTTTCCAAGTGGGAAAAATCAATTTTCAAAAGAGAAATCACAGCTACATTCATGCAGTGGGCCAGGATAAAAGCCAGTCTAACACAGCTCAGAGCTACTTCTATAAACTCTGAAAAGGGCAGCTTTACTTCAGGACTAGTTCATCCTCAAGACCATTTCTGTAATTAACTGTTTTACTGCAAATACAGTTAAAACATTTCAATTATTTTTTAAAGAACATTTTAATTGTTTTTTTTTTAAATGTGTTCCAAAGTTTTCTGATTCCTGCATGAATTATGCATTTTTTGAAACTTTTTATCCACAGGAGGTTAACAAAATTTTATCCACAGAAGGTTAACAAACAGAGTAACAAAGTCTCAGTAGTTTTACCACACATATGACAAAGAAAAAATTCCTTCATAATCGAGTATTTTCAAGTTGATTTACTCACGTTTGTCCTCATAAATAGTCTTAGACTTCAGGTAGACTTCAGAAGGGTCCAGCTTGGGAGAGCCTGATCGCACAGCAGAGGGTGGGAAGGGCATGGGCTGTGGGATGGGATCACTGACAGCTTCCAAACTCCCTGAACTGTCCTGCTTGTCCTTCTGAAACACACCCCACCCACAAAATCCAGATTAAACCGAAGCAGAACTGAACTTGTGGGGGCAAAGACAAGGAACACCAAGCAGAAGAGGAACAAGGGAACAGGGGAGTAAAATTGTGACTCAGTGTAGATTTTCCAGTGGATTTGTCTGACCAGAGGACTGAAGTCTTCCCCTGTGGGACACAGATTTCTACTGGAGACTGGGCTGAGAAAGGGGTTTGAAGGGGTTGCTGCCCAGAGAGGAGTGAAGTTGGGCAGATCCTGGTGGTTACCAGCACATGGGATGAAGTGGGATGCACAGGACAGTCATGGTTGGAGAAGACCCCAAATCCTTGCCAGGCACCTGCCAGGCTCTGGAGCTCAGTCCAGGCCCATGGGCACACACTGCTTCACCAGGGGCACTGTCTCCTGCCCTCTGCCAAGGACATCCCCACGAGCACCAGGGGTGTTCCCAGCCAACACCAGGAGTGCCAAAGGCAGTGTAAACACAGGCCAGGAGGACACACCTGGGTAGTTTGAGGCATTAGAATTCACTATTTGCCTTTTCATGATCTGAGAGCTGCAACAGTCCTGTCAGTATTTCCCAAAGAAAGGACACCAACCATCCTTGTGGTCTCTCACCCTGATTTCCAATGAATTGTGCACTAAAGTAACTCCAAATACTTACTCTGGGCAGAAACCCAGCCTGGAAAACTTGCACGTGGCTGAACCACAGCACGAGCAGAGCAGAGTTAGATCTGCCCTTTCACCAAGAGCACAAGAAACTGCCCTGAGCCATTCAGCAGTTTGACACTTCTTGTATGTTTGTTTATAAACACAAGAGCTTGCCCTTTTTAAGTGAGTTATTTTGCCACACTGCTTAATGCCACTGAGCATCGAGTGCTCCATGGGCTCCTGCACGTGTTGGAAGAGAATGCCAGTCCCCAAATCCAAAGTATTTTTAGCATGGGAGCCACACTGCCAGGGCCTGTGCCCTCCAACTGCAGGGATTTCTGCCCTGATTTATTCAGGGTGGGCAGCTGGATGCTTGCAAGGGATGGAATCTGCAGATCTTATTGAGCACAGTCTGCTGAACACGTGTGTCTGTGTTATCCCACTGCTGGGATACGACTCCAGCACCCAAACAGCAGGATAAAGATAGAAAGAGAAGCTACATCCACATTGTGGTAATGGGGTTCTCCTCAAATGCACTGATTTGTTCTGTACAAGAAGCATTTTTAAAGAAACAGCTGTGCTCAAGTAGCCTAATTTATAACAGAAACATGCATGGCCAACATATGCATTAATATCAGCATTATTAAATCAGAGGGTATTTTATTAAGCCCGAGGATTCTTTACTGAGCTAATATATAGCAAAGATGGCCCAACAGATTGAACTTCCAAGAACATCAAGCCAGAAATGCACAGCTACACAGAGACCTGCTGAAAATATGGATCCAAAGATAAGCATTTCCAGAAGGGAGCACTAACCAGTCCATTAATTCTGTGTGAGGATTGAGAAGAATCAAAGTATCATAAACTTCCTTTAGAAATCCCATTCCACTTTAATAATTAGCAATGAAAAAAAGTAGATACACTCTATTTTGTTTCCCTTTTAATGAGTACTCTGACAGCAGCTGCTTAAAGACAAAGAATTTGTGCCTGCCAAGTAGACGTGGTTTTGCTAAAGCATTTTGTAGATTATTACAGGGAATAAAATCCAGAGGAAATGAGATTACAAAGCAGGTCAGAGCATGCACACAATCAGCCATTTCAGAAAGTAATGGTAGAACTTGATAATCATGAAAAACCAACAATATTACACTTATCATCATACCAGACTTTTGCTGTATTCTTGATTCTTCAGTAGTAATAAGAGAGATATCCATCATCTCCATTAAACAGCTCAAAAACCTCAAAGGGATATTTCCTGTTCATTAGACCATATTTAAGAGTCTGTTTTGCAACCCTAAACCCCTGAATATTCTCCATTAGAAACCAAGTTAAATACATCCCCAATACTCACCCCTTTGGCAGTTTTAGTAGGTGAGGGTGGACCTGAAGAAAATAGAAAGTAATTTCAATAGTAGGTTCCTAAAAGTTTAAACAACATTATAGCAATATAATCAGCTCCTCCTGGGGTGAAAACAGTAACTTCTGCTTCACTCTTCTTTGAAGTGACAAAGTGACCAAAACCATCACTTCAGAGAAGTCTCAATTAGAATTGAAAGCTGTACAACAATGAAAAATATCTATTTCTCTGTTTGCTAAACACTGGTCAGTCAACCAAATCACCCATCAGTTCCTGGGATAAGCAGACTTGTGAATTTGTCTGAGGGAATTTCACTTGCTACAAAGAAATCTAATTATTCCCTTAGCTTATTAGGGAATAATAGCATTTCTACAGAAAAAGACCTGGAGATTCTTGCAAATATCAGTGACTGAAGTGACACTCTACATAAAGCCTGAAGAGACACTGAGCAGCCATGAGCTGCTTCATAATCCACTCAGCTCCCTCTGAGAAACACACACTCTGTACTACAGTTTTCGGGGAGAAGGTGCATCGTGGTCTGTGACTGACAGTCAGTGCAGGGGTATAAATATGCAAATGAAAAATCAGAATTTTTCTGCTATTCCCAGTGATCAGCTCCACCTCTGTTGATGCTCCTTCTTATCTCCTGCAATCCCCTGTCCATTGCAGCCACAGTTACTGGAATGCATTTGGAGAGCCTCAGGAAACTCAGTCCCATCATATGCTTTGCATTATGCTGGAGACCACGTGTTTGCTTTAGCACTCCCCAGATACTTGGAAGAGACAGTGCATAAACATATCATCATATAACTTTGGGAAAAAAAAGAAAAAGAGAAGAAAAACCAAACCAAAACCCCAAACAAAACCCTAGCAACCCCAAAAGCTCAGGGGGATAAATTAAACTCAGAACATAACAGCTCAGAGTCATAATGAGCTGCTGCTTAGCTGTCAAGACTGGACACGATTTAGGGATCACACTAAAAAAGGGACTTTATGAAAAGCTTATAACCAACATGATAACTGTAAATGTATGTCTGTACCTCCTCTTAAGATAAGCAGTGGCACCTCTGCCCCTACTGGGAACTGCTTGAGCACCTCCACCACCTGCAGGTGGGTCAAGCTCTGCACGTTCTGGTGGCAGATCTCCTTGATGACGTCGCCTTTCTGCAGGCCCTGGCACCACTGGCTGTCCAAAATCATCTTCACCTTCTGCCCCATGGGGCTGTCTGCGATGGCAAACCCGAACCCTTTGGGCCCTTTGAGCAGGGGGATGGTGACCAGCTCTGGCTGGGAGCCCCCCGAGGAGGCCAGGGAGACCCTCTGCTCCGCCGCGTCCATGGAGGGGCCGTTCAGGCGCCCGTTGACCAACATGGGGCCCATTTTCCCATTCTGGTCCAACACAACTGTCCCTGCTATCAAATCTTGGCTGGGCACAGCAGCATCTCCTCCCTTGGCCACGGGAGGGCCGTTGATGATGGGTGTGGCTGTCACGATATCCACCACGGGGTCCTCGGTGTCGTCAGGGAGGGGGTAACCCCGACACAGGGTCATGTTCACATACTGATTGACAGGAACCAGCTGGAACATCTGCACAACATCTGCATGGGTATGGCCAAGCACACAGCTCCCATTGATGTCCACAATGACATCACCTGTTGCAAAAGGAAGTTCAACAGCGTCAGAAACAGAAGCAAAACCACCCACACCTGGAGCCAAGAACAAAAGCCTTACCTGGAGGAAATCACTGGGCAGGCTTCAAACTAATTGGCTCCTGGCTAATGCTGCCAAAAAGCACGCAGGATTTCCTCTCTGCTTTTATTCTATTTCATCTCAGAACACAGTGTGCTAAATATATAAAGTTTAATCTGCAGCAGATTTAAAAAAATGATACTGTGCAGCCACGGGAGATGAAGCAGAGCACGCACACTCCTGCAAGCAGATGTCTTCTGCCTTAATTCATATTGTCCAGCATCCTAAACCCAATCCAGAATAAATCGGATTTTTTTTGGCCCTGTGTTTATTTTAGGACTGGCTGAACTTAAGCTAGGATTGCACCCACACACATTCCATACTATTACACTGCTGCCACACGTGGCTCAGAACACATTTTCAAAATAAGTGAAAGTGGGTTTCGGATCCTGAAACCTTGTTTTGTGTTTCCATCATTTTGATGTGAAACTCTGCACGTGCAATACAACATTCCCTGCAGACTGCCTTATCTCTCAAATGCCTGGGCATCAATAAAACAGGAACTCTCTTATTATTCCATGAATTGCAACAGGAATAGCTGCACATCTTTTCATTCCAACAGTTCTGCAGGATTGTTTTCACTTTTACAGAGGTGGAACATGAACCACACGCAAACAAGTTTAAATAATATGTCAGCAACAGAATAGGAAATTGTTTCACAAGTAAATAGAATTAAATCATTCAAAAGTCTTCTTATCTGAAGAGTTTATGTGATACATAAAGAAGCATTTTGCCTTTCCTAGTATGTAAACCTTACAATAAGCTGAACTTAATTAAACATATAGTAACAATGAAAAAGTGTGCAAGTCTTCATGGATTGCAGGAACCCTCATCTCTCTTCTTTCCTCACTTGGCCAGCTCACACAGCTTTGCTTCCTCATTCCTGCTGCAGGTTTTTTGCAGTTTTAATATTTGGTGCTACGTTTTTTGGCAGCAATGAAGCAAAACACAGACCAGGATTCAGTAATGCTGTTTTCCTTTATGTATAGAGAGGGAACAAGTCTGTGAACAACCACGAAGTCAAATGTCTTAGCTAAAGTACTGAAATCTTCAGAAGTGTCCTCAAAGTAGATTTTTATCTAGAACATTGCTTCTTTTCTTTTTCAGCCACTGCTCTGCACAGATCTTTCACAAATCTGAAAACTATTTCATTTAGTGAGGATGTGGATGGAGTCACCCAACCTCCTGTGCCTCGAGCTGTGCTCTCCAAAGCACCCCAGGAAATGGAAGTTTTAGAGAAATAATACTTGACCTGGAGCAATTCTCCCATCTTGTGCAGCAGGTCCATCCTTTAACACATTCTTCACCTGGAGAAACTCATCAGGCCTGTCCCCTCCGATGATTGTGAAGCCAAATCCCATGGTGCTTTTTTTCAGGGATGTCCTTATAAGTGCTCCTGTGAGCTGGGATGGATCTCGAGTGAAGAGAGACTTCCCTGGTCCTTTTGAATTAGGGAATAGAGAGACAGGAAACCAGGGTTAGCTCTGGTAAGTTTTGTGTTTGTTTTTTAAAGTGTCACGAAGGTTAATGATTTGTTTATTGCTGGTTAATCTCTGCAGCACCATTGGGGAGTAAACAAACAGGACAGTGCTACATTAATTTCCCACCTGGGTTTAGGGAATGGAAAAAAATAAGAGGTTTTTAGAACAGATTGTAACAGAGCTGTATCTAAACCTCCCACCTCGAATTCCCAGTTGTAATCCTTGAATACCAAGCTTAAAGTAAATCAAAAGCATGAAAACTCCAGGTGTGGTTTTACCTGCATCTTCCAGCTGGCTCTTCTAACCCTCCACACATCCCAAAGCTGCTTATGACAACCAGTTTCAGAATGATCAAAATGATTTAAAAGCAGGCTTAGTACCTCAGTTCAATCTTCACATTAAAAAATCCTTCAAAAAAACCCCTACAGATTTGGGAGGGCAGCACTGCAGTGGCCAGCAAAAAGACAAGGCTATAATGCCTTGATGAATTCCCAAACTGGGTACTTACAAAGCACACCTGCAGATAAAGACAGAAATGACAAAGACCACAATAATCAGTGATACCTGATTTGGAAGGGCCAGCATCAGCCTGCCCTAGCTGCTTTTTCCTTTTGGCTTCCAATACTGGATTTTCAAACTGAGTTTTCTGGTTAATGTGACTGCAGACACAGAAAAGGCAGGTCAGGGTTTCAGCAGGAAACATTCTGCCTATTGCCCAAAATCCCAACCCCAAAGGATACGTCTACAAACGCTGTTTTTTAATATCTCAGATGAATGCTCTGGAGGAATGAAGGATAAACTCCCATAATCAACCCTGAAAGCATGTTTGTTCTCTCAACAACCTGATTTACTTTGAGAGCCAATAAAATTTTACTCCCTTTAATTACTAGGTAGAGTTATAATAGCTTAGAACTGAGCAAACCTGCTTCTTCTCTTGACCCATCTACTTATAATGTTTACAAACTCAGGCATCACCTTTTTACAGTAGATGCCAGTACAGTACAGAGGGGGAGAAACAGTAAATTTGAGCATAATTTAAATATTTCGGCTTTGCAAAGTGAAAAATGTTTGCTCTTTCTCTGAAGCTACATTTTCAACTCTACCAATTTTCTTCTCCATGGTTAAGGAGAGATTTAATTTCCTCTGGCCTGAAGGAGATTCCAAAGAGCTCTTGCAGCAGTTTAGTGGTTATTTACTTGGCTCTTTGGAGACAGCAATGAGCTACAAGTTATTTTTGCTCTTTTACAGTTACCAGGTGCCACTCTTAAATCAAATGACCTTGTTTTTGTTAAAGCTAAGAAAAATTACATCAGCTCATTCACATTAATAAATTACTTTGGTTGCTACTTGCTTTCCTTCCCCAAATGAAAATACACTCCAGTAAGTCTTCAAGGTCACACCATGAATTGTCCCACATGCCAGTGCTGCAGAAGTTTGTACCATGAACTCACTGCTCCCAGAGCTGTTTTTACTGGACATATTTAACACCTTCATAAAATCCCCGAATGGTTTGGGTGGGAAGGGACCTCAAAGCCCATCCAGTTCCACACCTGCCATGGGCAGGGACACCTTCCACTAGACCAGGTTGCTCAGAGCCCCATCCAACCTGGCCTTTCACTGCATTACAACCTACACTTATCAAGCATTTGATTATTTCCTGCTCAGTTCATAATGATGTCAAACCAATAACTGGCACTTACTCGACATAGTATGTTCCATACTGAGGGTCTTCTATTTTCTCCCATCCATAAGGAAGTTCTGCAATCAGAAAGACCAAATTCTTCATTACAGTGGAAAGCTATCTACAAATATCAGAGTTTTTATGAAAGATCACATAGACTCGTGGAAAATATGAGGAAAGTACAGGTCCTATTTTCTTCCTTGATGAAGGTTATGAGTTTGTTCCAGGGAATCTGAAGCCCTGTAACTCTCACTCTTTCTTCCACTAGATGATGAGACTTATATTCAACAAAAATCACACCACTTTAAACATACAATAAACTTAAGGACCTATCTGATAAAGGTCCTGGAAGTTACATGAAAAAAGCTCCTTCCAATGGCAAATTAAAATCTGGTAAGATGGTGCCCAGCAGCTCATGACTGACTGAAGGTGGTAAGCAGTTACCACAGAGGTCAGATTATTCTAGTTATCCTGACTATGGTAATTCAAATATTAGAATAATGGATACAGCCAGGCAGCCAGGCATTTTAAGGATAAATTTGCCCTGCAATCTTGTTGGAGGCTGCCCTAAGTTTGACAGTAACAGGAATTTCCCAAGCATATGACAGCATGTTACCAATTACTAATACCAGCATCACTCCACAGGGTGTGACAAAAAACCCAGTGGGTCTATTCATTTAAATACTGTTCACTTGGATACCCTGCATCTCTGTTTAAAGTGCTCTTTTTTATCCTGTGGTGAGCTGCACATATGTTTAATAAGCAGCAGTGTGCAGCCATTGCTCCAGCTGGCTTTATTATGGATCCGTGGCTGTTGGGCTGGGCAATTTTGGAGCAAGACAGGCTATTCTGAAAGCCTGCCTCAGCTTTTGGAACATGTCAGGCATTTGCTGAAGACAGAGCTATCTGATACTCTTCTCTAGCTGACTAAATTGCCTGGCTATGTTGGAAATGGTTGCAGGAATTGCCTGCAGGCCACTCATGGACCTGACCTGTGAGGCTTGAAGCGACAGTGGGAGGCATTGAAGGGAGTCAGATTGTTCCCTCTACTTTTGCATTCAAACAAGACATCATGTCACATGCAACAGTTATCATTAGCAATATGTATTATGCCATATCTTCATTATTATTTCTATATTCTGCTATTTATGGGCCTTCTCCTCCTGCCATAATTCCACCCGCACAACAGTGAGATCGTCACTCACGTGCAGCTTCCTCCTTAGCAATGACAGTCACTGGAACAAAACATCTCCTTCTCTGCTCAGGAGTGCAGATAAACCCTTGGTTCAGCCAGATTCTGCTGTTCCAGGGAAAATACACCATAGACTTTCCCAGTCTTATGTAAACTCCTACAGCCACCAAACCAGGGAGACTCAGCACGACGCTGCTCCAGAGTCACCTCGACCAGGAAGAAGCTTCTACCACAGCAGTAATGGATTGTATCCAGCTGGGATAAACTCAGACATTTATCAGTGACAGGTGACAAATGAATTCTGAACATCTCACCTCCATCTTCACAATCTTCAGGGGCTTTGGCCTTCTTACAGAGCCGGGGGTCGAGCCACGTGGTTGTCTTGGTGTTGTGACTGTGGAGCAGAACATGGGCCATTCAAAGAAGAAACTCCCCCAGAATGAAGAAACTTTACTCAAGTATTTACTGTTGTAGGGAAACTGCAGCCTTTAGATAATACAACCTTTATTTGTGCCTCAGTCACATCATAAAACTGCTAAAAAGAAAAGGCACCAGCAGAGTGGAGACTCCCCAGAGACACAAACCCTCTCTCCAGACCCCAAAAGCTCATGTGGGAATAGCAGCTGTCTCTACCTGATAGGAAAAAATATTTTTAGCCTCTTCATGTGCTTAACTCTCAGGGAGGTTTCTGTTTCATTTTTGCCTTGTAATTCACAAATGAGGCAGTTTCACAGGTGCACACATGAGCTGCTTCCCTATCCTGGACTTTCATCTGGGCTGTCTGTATTTTGAAACGTGCATTCCCAGCCAAGGAACACAAGCAGAGAAGAAAGAATAAACAAGGTCTCAGATTTCAGAGAAATCTGACATAGTGAAGGTTTCTATAATTATATAATTAAGTTATAAATATATATATATATTATATAATTAAGTTATAATTCACTTAGCAATACCCACCCAGCTTTGTATTTGTGAGATACAAAACCTATAACAAACAAACTGACTTTGCAGTTTCCCTGCACAGTGGCAATTGCACCGAGCGTGCAACATCAGCAGGGATTTTAACAGCAGGAATATACTTAATTTCATAAAGAACCAGAAGCAGTAAGAGCAGAAAAGAGGTGCAAGAGCAGCAGCAGCTTCCCAAGCTGCAGCCAGCAGCACTCCTCCCCCCCAAGGGCACAACAAACCCTCCCTGGTGCTGGTTACTCACTCGATGAAGTAGATCATGCCAGTGTCTGTGTAGGCCATCTCCCAGTTCTTGGGAAGGGGTTCCAGGGTCTCATCCCTCGACAAGTAATTTCTGAAGTCCATGTTGCTGCTTGTCTGGTTGTAGCTGGGAACAGGTTTCATCCAGTCAGGAGAATCTGAATGTTTTTCTTTGTTTTCTGCAGTTGTTCAGGGAAAGTGTTACTATTTGTCAGATGCTTATGTTGTTTCTCACAAAGAACCACCCTCTTAATCTGGCTACGAGTGGATGTCAAACACGTCCCTGTATGTGATGTGCATTTTTCCACTTTTTTTTTTTTTTCTTTTCAGCTGTGAACTTTGCAAAGCTGACATGAAAACACTGAACTCTGCTCTTCCCCTGCCAAACAGAATTAACCTTGTATTATGTGTCTGAGCCTACCCTGAAAAAAATCAACGCTGGCAGAACTCCAAGTTGACTACACTTTGTTGCTGCTCCTACAGAGAGAGCAGTGTTTGCAATGCCATAATACAACCCCAAAAATCCTACTAATATTCCTCAAAGCACCAGAAGGAAATGCAGAGAAGACCCAAACTGCCAGTAAAACAAACAACATCCCTCCTACAAGCCACAAGCATAAAAAAAAAAAGTCCCGAAAATCCCTGCAGGAAACTTTAAAATGGAAACCTCCACCCCTCAGAGCTGAGATTATGCTCAGTACCCTCTGTGACATGATGATGCCCACGACCTTCACCCCACCACCAGCCCCTCTGTGGCGTTGCCAGCCCTAAAACTGGCAAGTTTAGGTCAGGTCTGGTCAGTGTAAGTCTGTCTTAAACACTCACACACAGGATCAGCTGCAAATGCAATGTGACAGCTCCTCTCCACCATCAGTTCTTCCCCCTCGAGATGAGTAACCATGACAGCAAAAGGAAAAGGGCATCCTGCCAATCTAGGAAAGGTCCTGCTGGACACTGCTCCAGCCTCAACACACTTGGCTTTATTTCTCTCCACAAGCTCTCCCTGGGTGGTTTCAGGTGGTGTCATAGCTCCCTCAACCAAAATCATCTGAAAATTTTTACAGCACGAGCTGGTGCTGCCCCTTAAACCAACCCCCTCCCTAAAATCTCCCATTTACAAACCCTCAAAATTAAACAATAACATTGACAGGGCACGAATTCTGCCCCGTGAAGGGCTCTGTTTTCTGAAGAGTGGATAAATTTTTCCTTCCTGCTCATGTAACTGGCCCATCCCCAGCACCACATGTTCTCCACCGAGCAGTGCATTCTATGATGCAATTGCACATCTGGCTGGGGGAACAGCTGGTTCTGTTTAAAAGATCATTTCAAAACAGAGCAGAAGCACCAGCCTGAAGAGAAACTGCCTTCAGACTTGAGCAAAACTAAGGAAGCAGGAATGTTATTTGTAAACTCCTTATCCATTTATACAATACTCCAGGGAATGTCTCCCCTTGTCAACCAACCTATCCCTCCACTGCCATTCACTGCCTCCTTTTCCTCCTCTTCCTCCTCTTCAGGGAGAGAACTTTCCATCCTTTGCATTTTGCTGACAGAAGTGGTTCTTTTCCTCTGCGATTCAGTATCAAAATCATTGTCAAAAAGAACTTGATCCACTGGATCAGGCTGGAAGGGGCTGGGCTCTGCTGGAGGCTTTGGAGTACCGTAAAAATTACCTGAAAATGAAGCAAAAATCAGGCTCAATAAAGCACTGACACTGCTGAAAGCACTGGCAGTGGCTGTGGGTGTTTTGTTGCCCATGTAAAGGTGTTTTGGTGAAAACTGAACTCCTCAAAGAAAACTCCAGCACTATCAAAACCCAATCAACAGTCAAAGCCTATTTATTCCTGCATTGACTTTTTGCCAGTGCTGCTATTAAATATCAGAAAACAAGAGGTTTAATTCAAGATTTCTATCCTGCCACAAGTTTTCTAGAGAAAAAGATGGATTTGTTACTTTGTCTGGAATTCACTAATACTCCATAAAGAGACTTGGGGAACAATCTGAGAGAAGCAAAACAGTGAAAATCAATTTTTCTTACTCCATACACTAATTTAACAGAGTAATATGCAAGAACAGAAACACACTGAATTCAAAAAGCAAATTAATTTTGTGCAGAAACATAAAGTATCTATTTACATAAAAGCAGTTAACAAAGAATTGATTTTAAAACCTTCAATTTTCTACTGACAAGACACTTGCTAAACAAAGCTGTTAATATGGCTTCACCTAAAAATGACTTGTACTTGAGAAAAAGGAACAGATTTTTGCCTTCAATATTTTAATCTAAAACACAAAGGAATCATCTGCTGTTTTCTGGAAAAGAATTTCAGCAATTGACCTCTCTCCTGACTGCTCATATGATTTTTATTAAGGAATTGAGAGCACAGCAAGAAAGCTTCCCAGAATTCCTGCTGGGGTAACTTTTAGTGCCTGGATATGGTTTTGACCATGTAAATAAAATAAATAAGAATCCCTTCTGCAAATATCAGTGAGGGTGAGGCTCAGAGTGGGGACAGTCAGATAAAGGGCAGCTGAGGGGAAACAAAAAAGCACTAGTTTAGCCTAAATTTGCTCAGGAGATTTCCACAGAGAGGACAATGTCAACAGTGTGGGACATGGAAAACAAGAGGCACAGAGCCTGTCACAGGATTGTCTACTTAGATAGTTTATTTCCTTTTCTTTTTTCACCACCTTCATTACAGTGTTTTTCCCCACCACATTTAACAAAACCAACTTTGCTCTAGATTTGGACAATCTGGTCTAGTGCTGCTCAATTTTTCACTGGAAAATGCTTTTGTTTCCCTGCTGGATCAGAATTCCCCTCGCTTTCTGCCCTTTTGATGCACATCTGTGAGGAGAACGTGGCCCTGTTCTCTGAGCTTTACACAAAATCAGCTGAATTCTGCTCAAATTGTACCAGGCACAGACAAACCTTTTCAGAACGCTTCCAAAAATGCAACGAGGAAAATAATCAGGTGGCATTAAGGCTGGTTGAAAGGACAACCCGTGATTTAGCCCAGAGCTTCAAAACCAAATCACTCCCCCTCTTTTAAAGGTAACCCAAAAATAGACTCACTACTGCCTCTCTGCTACTTTCAGATCATCAAATGGGCAGGAAAAGTGGCACCACAGGAGCTACACTTGGACTGAGATCCTGGACATGAGTACTGAGCCCTTATTCCCATTCCATTAAACATCACCAACGTACCATCATATGTTCCACTTTCTAGCAAGGCTCCACTTTCTTCCAGTGCTTTAAACTGCTCAACAGGAATGAAATTATAGTCTACCCCAGGGACTTCCCCATCTCTGGGAGCCCTTGTAGTGCCTGCAAAGACAGAGAAAACACTCTTGTAAGATACTTAAGTGCTGCCTGTTACCAAATGCTGCCTGCTGTAAAATTCAGTAAAACAATGTATTTTTGAATCTTTATACAGTGATGTCACTCCAGTAAGAGTTAGAACAAATGGTGAGCAAGTGAACAATAATGTATAAAAACTGGGCCAATAAGTTCCATAGGAATGACAGTTCTGGTACTGACAGAGGAGGAGAGAAAAAGCTGGATGAGCTGGTAATTACAGAGAATTCTTTCTTATGCTCAGTGAACCAAAAAAAACAACTTCTGTGGCAGCTGACGACGCCTGGGCCAGGCAATCCCAGTCTGGGATTCTGGGAACAGCCGTGGTATTTTATTTGAACCCAGCTGGAAGGATGCTCCATCTCCCCCTGCTTCCACCAGTACCAACTCTCTAATTTGCAATGAGCTCAGCGTGACTAAGCACGTTTGATTTTTGGGTCACCAAATCCATAACTAGGCACAAAACTTATTTTTTAACCTTACAATTGAGAGTGTAATTCAGCTACACTCCAAGCCCTGGCTGTAGGTCAGCTTTTTCAAAGCAATCAGTAAATTGCTGTGTTAATGCAGAGGTTCTCAAAGGGTTGTGTCTATGAAAATAGGCCTCCCATAGTTAAAACAGCTTAATTAAAGCTCTCCTGGAAAGGACTGCACTGATTCATTACTGCCTACAACCTACCAGCATTTTAAAGGCACATGTCAATTTTGTCAGGCAGCAGCATGAACAAGAGCTAGTAAATAAAAGATAATAACAGTGAAATGCAGTTTAAGAAAGCCACAAACTCTTGGGCGTGCTCAGAGAGAAGAGAACAGAGTTCCTGTAAATACAAAAACGTTAGTTGACAAACTTATAAGTTTTCAGTGCAATGAATGTTAAAATCCAGTCGGTGATGAGCCTTTTGAATCAGTCTGTCTTCTCAGGATGATCAAACAGCTCCCCTGCACTCTCTGCCACTGTCACCCCTTCTGCACACAGCCCCTCCTGCCACCCTGTTTCTATCACTGAAACACTCTGAGCCTGGAATTCTGAGCTTTTTTCCTCTTTTTCAGTCCATATTGGCTGCACCAATTCGTGGCAACTTCACATATCAAGCTATTCCAGCAAAACCAGAAGTTCCTGCTGCAAGGTAAAGCTATAAACCAGATTAAGAGAGAAGGCAATTAAAGCTCATAAATGATTGTTAGCAGGAACAGATCAAATGAGGCTGACCTTTACATACTTACAAGGGATGGTTCTCAAGTAGAGATTGTCTCTGATCACTTGCTGGAGTTTGTGGTCTATCGAGCCCTTCTGGAACTGAAGGCTCAGGTAGTGGCGCAAGTCTTTGTTGATGACTTTTCCTTAAAAAACCCAACAGACGAGAATAACTTGTAAAAATTAAGCAGGATCTCACCACAAGAATTGTGTTTCACTGCTATATAAATGTTTCAGAGAAAAAAAAGAAAGCAGTGAAAGAGTTGGGTTGTTTTAAATGCAACGACCTGAAGAGAAAAAAATATTCTGTGGGTTGGAAGGGACCTTAAAGCTCATCTTGTTCCAGGACACCTTCCACTATCCCTGATTGCTCCAAGCCCTGTCCAACCTGGCCTTGGACACTTCCAGGGATGGGGCAGTCACAGCTTCTCCCATGCCAGTCCCTCACCACCCTCACAGGGAAGAGTTTCTTCTGGCACAGTGATTTTAAGCAGAGCTGAGCAACAACCATCCAATGCCAGCATCTCCCAGGCAAGGCAGTGACAATATTCTGGAGTCATTTGAAAGTCAATAAAAAGCATTCAAATAGAAAACGTATTACCAAAATTCAAAGTCTCCACAGACAGCAAACTACTGTCACTGTATTTTGAAGCAGTTTCCATTCAATTTACACCTACTCACTAGTCACCTGAGCTCAACATTTTGTCACAAGGGAACCTGCATCCTTGGTATTATAAAAAGAAAATATTTCCTTTTTAAAAACATTGCATAGTAGAAGAGAGTTGGGTTTTTTTTTTTACAATTACTCCTTTGCAATACTTCTGTCAGGTATCATTAGTGAATCTGTCACATCACTGGAGAACCACAGCCCCTTCAGCACACAAATAACTGAGCTCTTGTATTACTGCCTCATCCTTCTGACAGGAGGGTACAAACCAATCTTTTGTACCCTGTCAGCCTCCCAGAAAGCACATTAAACAGGGTTCAGTGACCTTGGTAAATTTAAGTTACATACTACAGCAGCACACTCGGGGCTTTAGGGAAAAAGCTCAGCCTTTGTCTCCAAACCCAGCCCAGGAGATGGGCAGCAGCAGGAGAGTGCTGGTGTAGCACAACAGCAGGGAAAAAAGCTGGAACAGAGGGCTGCTCCTGCTAAATTACGTCACCAACAGGTTATGAAATGCATAAACCTGCCCTAGGAAAGGTTCTGACAGGAGCCTCTGAAAGCCTGTGAGCCCAACTGGTGAGGAGAACACCTCAACCAGGGCACAGACCCACATCAGCCCTCGCCCAGAGCTCACCTGCACCTTCAACCAACATTTCTGCACTTACATAAATGTCACATTTGGAAAAAATCCCAACACACCCAAACCATCAAAACCCTTCCACCGCTAACCAAGTTTGCCCGACCACGTTTCACTCCCAAAAAAGTTCAGCTGAATGTTTTGGTTGTGGCAAGTTTACACTTTCCCCTTCCCTTCCAGCCAAGTTAAGGGCAGGTCACACCTTGTACTCATCTCTCAAACACGACCTCAGCGACCACCACCGACCACCAGCAAACAGAATTTCAACCTGCACCCTCTTCCCTCCAAACAAAACTGTGGCAAGCTGAGGAGCATTTCCAAGTGGAACCAAGATTACCTATCAGCCCTTCAGAGAGGCCTGTGCTGTCCACAAATTAACCAAAACCCAAGTAAAACCACCTTAAGCCCCCAAGCAAAGTAAGAAAAAGCTCAGAAGAGGCAGCACAGCCTGTGTCGAACAGGAGCCCTGAGCTCCAAATGAAGTCGATTTTTCACCTGTTTTAACACTTAATTTATTTAAAAATTACATCCAAACCCACAAAAATCAATTCTGCAGCGCTAGGACAACACCTCAGCATCATTCTTGTGGCTGTCCAGAGTTCCACAAGCAACACAGCAACTCCCACTGAAGTGGATCCCACTGAATCCTCCCAGGCATGGAATGTGCAGCAGCTCCGCAGCCCTCGGGGCCAACCCTGCCTGGTGTGATGCCACTGAGCCCCCTCCTCAATTCCCTATTTTACCACCATGAACTGTCCTTTATAAAACTTTGGATTTTGCTTTTGCAGCATAATGAGCAAAACATGTAATGGAAAATGAAAACAAATGGGGTAATTCTCCAGGAAGAAAAGTATTTTCCATTTGTTACTACAAATCACTTTATTGTTTGTAGACAAGACGGTTTCTCAACACTAAAAATATGGTTTACTGCTAAAATGGCCCATCCATCTCCCTGTCAAAGCCTGATCCATAGCTCTGCACTTCAGCAATCCCAGCATATTTCACTTAGGCAGATCAATACCCCCATATTTCACTCAGGCAGATGAATCTGGTCATTAGCTACGTTCAGAGCGCTGCATGTCAGAAAAAATTTGGCAAGAGGTGAAAATCTGCACTGTATGTAGAATTACAGAGACTTTATTTACTCACTGATCTTCCCCTCTTCGTGTTCTAAAATTTAAAAGCTCATAAACCCTTTTCAATAAACATCAACTCAGTTAAAAGACAAAGTAAAGGCAAAGCTGCTGCTAAGGATACACCCACACTGAGGGGTTAATCTTAATATTAAAACCTTAAAGACTGGAGACCAAAACTCTGAGCCCAAGGTGACTAAACTGAAGACTGAAAGGGCTGCCTGGGGAAAACAGAGGAAAGTCAAACAAAACAGCAGGCAGAGGGGAAAATGACAGAAAGTCACACAATGCATTAGAAGGCAGAAAAATATAGTAAGGATGCTTTAGGCAACCTCCAGAGCTTGTTCCACGCAAAAGCCAGATTATTTCCCCTCCAGAAGCTGAACATGCTCCTTTACATTGTTTCACGCAGGCTTTTAGGAGAACCTCGTGTATCAGCCTCTCTGAAATGACCTAATAAATGTCGGGTTGGTGTTTGTTGTGCTGCTGAGCTGCCTCTGAAGGATGACACAGGCAACACAGGGACCAGTCAAGAGGAATAATGTACTTTATACCGTTCAGGTTCTGCAAGATGAACAGGCACAAGCCTCTTGTTTTCAGTTTTAATTTAAATTAACCACGAAAGAGCTGTTTAAGCGAGGATAGGCACACTGCAGTTGGGCAAGAACTAAGTGGCTGCAGAAGGAAAAAAACAGGCTCGAGTGTCACTGCAGCAAAACACAGCGCTGGGAAGGACAGAGGCAAATGAGTGACAGGGACATGGTGAAAAACGGGGGTGGTGGCTCTCACAAACTGTGCTGGGGAAGTTGCCTTTGCTGCTGTACCTAAACAGGACGAAGAACAGCTATTTATACACACCCAACCTGTCATGGAAACGCTCGAGAACACACACTGCAGTCACAAACGGAGGAGCACTGCCATGGTGCTACTAGAACTCGGCACCAAACCCCCCTCCTAGATCAGAAATGTTGGTAAAACAGCAAAGTTCAACGTTGAAATGTGCAAGTAAATTATAAGTATTCAGTCTGTGTAGTTTTTATGTTGCTGTCTGGTAATAATGTCATAAGTGCCTCTGGCTAATGCTGCTGGTATATGGAATATCTGTGATGTCCCCCACTAATCACTCTGAAGACCACGTGGGAAATTTTCCACATTGTTCTGATGAAGCTTTTACACAAACACAGGTGACAGCCTTCCAGAGACATGGAATTCTCTGCACTGCTGGGGAGTGATGCCTGAAGTTTCCATGCCAACACCTTCTGGAGACACTGGCAGCTACAGGTTCCCAAGGAGCTGCAGTGCTGATGGGTGACTGAATAAGTGGACAGTGCTTTTCTCTCAAACTTTTTGAAAAATACTTCACTGTTCATTATAAAAGCAATTTTTCAAAGTAGCAGTTTATTAAAAGCATGCTGCTTTCCTATTAAAGTATGTAATTTATTACCAGGGTTTACACCTTCGCTGTAGCTTTTAGCATAAAAATGCAATTTTAAGTGAAGAGGTGAGAAAATGGAATTGCA